ACCACACACATTAGGGTTTCATAAAAACTTGTGATTTCTTGACTACTTTACAACCACAAACCAAACCATACTTGTAACTACAATGATCATTGTGAAGACAAACAAAACACACCATTATGATCACTCAAAACTCATATGGTTCAGCATTGGTCGGAATGGGTGAGATGACATTAAAAACATATGCTGGTCGGTTTTATTAAACAATATGAATGCAACCAAATTCAACAATATGATGCAATTCATAAAATCATTCATTCACACAATTAAACAAAATCAAACATACTAATTCTCCCCCTGATTTTATTAATTGTGGTAGTTAGGGTTTCAAGGCCCTTAGGTCAAATTTTAGGTCAAATTTAAAATCAAGAAAAATTAGGGTTTTCAAGGCCCCAAGAACATTAAAACAGGCGGCTAAGGTAAAAACAATCATACAATCAACTTTTTAAAATTTTAAAACTTGAAATCAGAGTTAAAACTTTCATAAAAATCATTCAAAGAAGTTTTAAAAATTCTTAAAACTGGTTTTAAAACTTTTGCAATCATGAAAATCAGTTTTCTTAAAAAAAAACAATTTCATGCAATCAATCTTAAATCAAATTAGGGTTTAAGGTTTCAAGGCCTTATGATCTTAAAAGGTTTCAAGGCCTTTAGGTTTTAGGTTCTTAAATTAAACAATCAATTTAACAATCCTAAACCTCAAACAAACAATTTAAATAATCAAAAACAAATTAAAATTCGATTTTAGGGTTTAGGGTTACAATTCCATAACTTAGGGTTTTTAAATTCTCAGATATGATCACATAAACAATCAAACAAAATTAATTTGGAATTGATTTCAAGATGAGGGTGATAGAAAGGTAGAAAGAGCGAATCAAATTCTAGTTCATTCAAATTTTAGGGTTTAGCAAAACAATCTTAAAATCTATGGTGATTGATTTCTATGTTCTTAGATTAATGTGTATACCTTTTCTTTTGCAGATTAAAGGAACCGGACCACCAAGAATAGGAGAGAAGACCGCGAACGGATCACCGGGTCGTCTAGGGTTCTTGGACGAGAAAAGGAAATTCTCTGGCGGCTGGTACGGTTGGTTCTGCTATCGGCTAGGGCTTCCTCCGGGAAAAGGAAACTTGGTCGATGGAGAAAAGGAAATTGGGTGAGGCGGCTGGTCGGGAAAAGGGGACTCGCCGGGTAAAAAGGAAAGATCGGGTGGAGGCTGGTCGGATGAGAGAGAGAGCTCGATTAGGGTTTTGCAGATTTCTTTGCTTGAATTACCAGAGCAATTCGTGCTGATAACGTGTTGTAAACTAAGATGAAATATGTGTCTTATTCATGCTTTAGAGGTTCCATATATATATGGGATACAAGAACAAGATAAATGGAAAACGTCCAATTCCTAAAGTAACAAGGAATTGGAAATACACATAAATGGAAAAGAGGCTGGCCGCCTAGACTATTGGGTCACACAACCATTGGGCCAGTCCTAATCTATCTAATGGTTAAGGCCCATTCACTAACTCGTCCATAACATACATTGGATTTTTATAAGTTGTTAGATACATTAGTTAATCAAACTATATGATATAATGATATGATGTGATATGCTATTTTCCTTCCATAAATAAAACCTACGGAATTACCATAAATGACTAATATATATATATATGACACTTAATGATTGTTCCCTAAGATATAATTACTATTTTATTTTATTTTCATAAATTAAACCTACGGAATTACCATAAATGACTAATATATATATATATATATGACACTTAATGATTCTAATAATAAATATTTGATAACAGTTTATATATCCTCCATCATTTTTCTTTAATTTTATATTATTAAAATAAATTAAACATTCAAATTAGCTATAAAATTAAACTTTAGATTTTTTCGTATAGGTTATATTTTGAATTTTAAGAAATGAGAATAAATAACTAAACTATTCAAATTATTATGTTAAAAATTAATGATCAATAGTTTAACATTTTACTATAAAAAGATATACATGATTTTAAAACCATACAAGTAAAAAGTATCATTCAATAATAAAATATATATATATATATATATATACCATATAAGATTACATAAATATTTTAATTTCAAAATTTTCAATAAATTTTCAAGAACATTAATAAATTATAAACTTATTAAATTTTTCACATTGAAATTTGTTTGTTATCAATGATTTAAATATCTTAGTTCTTTTTTTAATTTATATTTTTAAAAGATATTAACAATCGATAATATGGTTATTTTTGGTATATACCATACAAACCGAATAGATGTGATTTTATAAAAACCATAGGATTTGGATATGTTTTGATTTATAATCGATTAAACTGAAACATGTAAATATGTATATATTTATAACGACACATGAATATCTATTTGTTACATGAGTTGAACTATAATTATAATTTGTAAATAGCTAACAATTTATTACAACTAAGACTTTTTATTTTGATCTTTTGCTTTTTTAACAGTAACTAAATTGAAGTAAAGATTATAAATTTGATGGACAACAATTAGTTGAAATTCTTTACAACTTTTTTTATCTTTAAACAAACAGAGTTGTGTTCAATCAAAGACATATTGGTTTGATGAACACTAAATATGAAAGAATATAAAAACTTTTCTTTCATGCTTCTGTTTTGTTTTTTTTTTTTTTTCAAAATTTAGTGTTTTGATATTAATTCTAGATTTGATCATTTTATTAGATGATAGAAGCCTTTTTTGTTTTTTATTCTTTTATTTAAATATATAATATTTTTTTAATAAATGACTCTGTAACAATATGACTCTAAATATGATCATATTATATATTTGTATAATATATAATATGATCTCAAACTAAATAATTATGTTTTTTTTGGTATAAAATTGAATAAACTGAAAACCGATGATATATAAACCAAATCAAACTGAAGTACATATAGATTTAGAATAGTAGTTATATTTTAATGATCGAAATACCAAAAAATCGAGCCGAACCTAAACCCGATATCCGGATTGAACACCTCTAATCCGAATGAAACCGAACTATTGTTTCATTTTTAAAAACATAATAAAAATAATAGATTCATCCCGCGCAAGGCACGGGTCTTATCCTAGTTTTGTAATAATTAAAAAAGACAACATGCTTAGGTGTCACTCAGTTAGGTAGTCAATTACATTCAATTGAAAAATTAGTAGGTCCACATTCGATTTTTATATGTCGCTAGATACATTCGTTGGTCAAATTATATGATATGATGATATGATATTTATGATAGAAGCATTTATGCTTGTTCCCCTAGATATAATTACTATTTTATTTTCTTTCCGTAAATAAAACCTACGGAATTACCATAAATAACTAATATATATATATATATATATGACACTTAATGATTCTAATAATAAATATTTGATAACAGTTTATATATCCTCCATCATTTTTATTTAATTTTATATTATTAAAATAAATTAAACACTCAAATTAGCTATAAAATTAAACTTTAGATTTTTTCGTATAGGTTATATTTCGAATTTTAAAAAACGAGAATAAATAACTAAACTATTAAAATTTTTATGTTAAAAATTAATGATCAATAGTTTAACATTTTTATTATAAAAAGATATACATGATTTTAAAACCATATAAGTAAAAAGTATCATTCAATAATAAAACAAATGTATATACAGATTAAACTATATACCATATAAGATTACATAAATATTTTAATTTCAAATTTTTCAAAAAAAATTCAAGAACATTTATAAATTATAAACTTATTAAATTTTTCACATTGAAAATTTTTGTTATTAATGATTTAAATATCTTAGTTCTTTTTTTAATTTTATATTTTTAAAAGATATTAACAATCGCTACCATACAAACCGAATGGATGTGATTTTATAAAAACCATAGGATTTGGATATGGTTTGATTTATAACCGATTAAACTGAAACATGTAAATATGTATATATTTATAACGACGCATGAATATCTATTTGTTACATGAGTTGCACTATAATTATAATTTGTAAATAGCTAACAATTTATTACAACTGAGACTTCTTATTTTGATCTTTTGCATTTTTAACAGTAACTAAATTGAAGTAAAGATTATAAATTTGATGGACAACAATTAGTTGAAATTCTTTACAACTTTTTTTTTATCTTTAAACAAACAGAGTTGTGTTCAATCGAAGACATATTGGTTTGATTAACACTAAATATGGAAGAATATAAAAACTTTTCTTTTATGCTTCTGTTTTGTTTTTTATTTTTATTTTCAAAATTTAGTGTTTTGATATTAGTTCTAGATTTGATCATTTTATTAGATGATAGAAGCCTTTTTTGTTTTTTATTCTTTTATTTAAATATATAATATGTTTTTAATAAATGACTTTGTGATAATATGACTCTAAATATGATCATATTATATATTTGTAATATGATCTCAAACTAAATAATTATGTTTTTTGGTATAAAATTGAATAAACTGAAAACCGATGGTATATAAACCGAATCAAACTGAAGTACATATATATTTAGAATAGTAGTTATATTTTAATAATCGAAATACCAAAAAATCGAGCCGAACCGAAAACCGATATCCGGATTGAACACCTCTAATCCGAATGAAATCGAACTATTGTTTCATTTTTCAAAACATAATAAATATAATAGCTTCATCCCGCGCAAGGCGCGGGCCTTATCCTAGTATTTATAATATAACAGAATAAATAAAACATAACGTGGTCTGGTGGTAAAAAATTAACTTGTTTTTCGGATATTCGGGTACCCGTTCGGTTCTCGGTTCGGTTCCGATTTCGGTTCGATTTTTCGGGTATAGAAATATAGGAACCATTCGGATATTTAAGAATTTCAGTCCGGTTTCGGTTTTAGGTATTTCGGTTCGGTTCCGGTTCGGTTGTTCGGTTCCGGTTTTTTTGGCCCAGACCTACTTATTCCTTTACTGAGTTGCTCAATGATTTTAACCAGATTGTTCGGGCACTGGAAGGAGATGCATCGCTGGATGATCTAAACGAAGTGAAACCTGGACAGAGCTCATACCTCGGGAGGGGATCGAGCTCGAACTATGACTCGAGCACTTACAGTGCGGATATGAGGAAGGTCAGGAAAGTGGCGTTGGATAGTCATGACTATGGTGCAAGCAGTGAGTATGGGAACACAAGCGAGTACGGGCTTGACCCCTCGTCCTCGAGCAGCGAGGAGATTCATAGTGGACGAGGAGCTGCTAACAACAACAAAACAACTCCTAGCCGAGCGCTTTGATGTATCTGCTAGATTCAAACAAATCAACTTGCTATGTTTTCCTGTGTGACATTGTTTTAAAACACTCGTTTATGTCAGATTCTGACCGTTGCTACATTTGGGTTTGTGTCTGTATGTCTATTGTTTGTGAAGAAAAACTATTAAAACTTTTGAATGTGATTTAACCGATTATTAATTCCAAAATATCCTGCTCCTCTCTTCTAACTTCAGATTCTGCAAGTGAAAACATGTGAGGTGAACAACCCAATCATTCAGACTCTCGATTCCATGATGAAAAGATGGAGGTTGCATACTAACAGACTTTAAAGGCAAATCATATCTCATACAATACACGTATATTAACAATGCAAAGAGTATATCAAGCTTCTTCCCAGTTTGTGAAAGAAATTATAGAAAAAAATAAAGGCACTCAGAGCTACAAATCAATGGACTATATAAACCGCAAAACGAAAGCTGTTTCTTGAAAACGTAGAGCCACAGAGTTTGTCACACACAAGTGCACAGAAACAAAAACAAATGAAAATGAAACAAACAAATGGTGAAGCAAATAGGATAGAAACAAAAAACGAAACTTTGATCCCATTCATAAAACCCACAGCTTTCGATCTTCTCCTTAAGATAGAGAGCTTAGAAGCATTTTCTGTGAACAATCCCTGGACCTGCCTCATCATACTCAGCCTTTGAGATCCACATCTATTGAATACCAACCATTTAAATAATCAGCTTCTGATCAAATTTACAATACAAAAAAAATGAGAAAAAAATGTCAATATTTTTACCTGCTGGAATGTGCTGAGGGAAGCAAGAATGGAACCACCGATCCAGACACTGTACTTCCTCTCCGGAGGCGCAACTACCTTAATCTTCATGCTGCTTGGTGCAAGTGCTGTGATCTCTTTGCTCATACGGTCTGCAATACCTGAGAACATAGTTGTTCCACCACTGAGCACAATGTTTCCGTACAAGTCCTTCCTGATATCCACGTCACACTTCATGATCGAGTTGTAAGTTGTCTCGTGGATTCCAGCAGCTTCCATTCCCACGAACGATGGCT